ACCCCCTTCCCACCCTCTCCCCAGACCGAACTGTTCCATCTGCACCCCCTGAAGCCAGGAGAGCATCCTAACCAAACAGCATCTTGGTGGGAGTTGTGGGTCTCCCTGTGCGGAGAATGTCGTAGCTGTTGTTCCAATTGTGTCTGTATTTTGGAGGTAATACTGGTTGTTTTTTCTCTCTTTCCCCCCTCTCGCCTGTCATTTGCAGATGTTAACGCAGGAGAACGAGTTCAGACCAATAGTGTAGCTACAGCATCAGCCTCCAACTCCACCTGAACCAGTACCAAGCAGCCAGCTGCACAGGAAAAATCACCAGTAATTTGAGTCTTGCTCAGCAACACTGGTCACATTTGGAAAGAAAATTAGAAAGAGGAAAAAAAAAAATCCAACAAACCAACCAACCTGTTCATTTTAGTGTTCAATTTTTTATTATTATTATTGTTGTTCTTATTTAACCTTGTAAAATATCTATAAATACAAACCAGTTTCATTGTATTCTCACTCTGCAGGGTGTCCGGGGCAGGGGACTAGGTGGGGGGAGGAGGGAAAGCGGAGCAATACAACACACCAATGTCTCTCCCCTCGACAATCTCTTCATGTTGGAAGTTTGCTGTTGTGTACTTCAGACCCAGGACTCTTGCCTCATGCCCCCTCCCACAACAGAAAGAAGGAAAAAACAAAACAAAAAAAATACCCAAACCTTATTCTCTGCTGAAGTTCTTTTTTTTTTTTTAACCTCTTTTTTTATTTTCTTTTTAAGTGAAATTTCGGACTTTGATGTAGTGCACAGCTTGAATTTGGTCGGGAGCTTAGCAGGGGTTGTTCAACAGAGCTCAGTGTTTCTTGTCAGCGAATCCATATCCCAGGTTGTCTGAAGACCTGCCCTGGCTTGGTGTGGGGAGCAGGCAACGTGGTAGAAAAATAGATTGCTGTGGGGTGGGGGGGGAGGGTTTGCCGTGTGTCTAAGGCTTGAACCGCTAGTGGAAGCCTTTCATTTTAAAAATCAGTGCTAGTGGTGAAGAAACCTGCAGCTTCATTATGGGAAAAGTTGTACCCGAGTGGGTTCTATATAATATAATACACACACATGCACAAATGCAAGCAGTTAGCTTTACTGAAGCAGCTCCTTTGCCCAGCCGGAGCTCCTGCCCCCGTGTCGCGGGCATAACGCCCAGCGGAGGCAGCCGGTCAGCTCCCGTCTTCAGCAGAGAAGAGCAGACGAACAAAATCCTCGGAGGGGGCAGGGGCCCAGCCGGGACTGTAAAGGACTTTTTGGAAAGTGGCCACTGTGAAAGCTTGGTTGGTTTGGGGTTTGTTGTTTGTTTGTTTGTTTTCCCCCCCCTTCCCTCCCTGCTCCCCCGGCTCTCGATTTGAACAGGCTTCCCTTTCCCAAGGTGTGTACAGGAAAAAGACACCAGGGTTTATAATGTGAACTGTAACAGTCTACTGGTTTATTTTGTAATGTTTTTTTTAACTGCAGTTTTAACTTGCAGGATGCCACATTCTCCGATAGTTCTGATTTTAAATCCACAGCTAGAATCTGTATTTAATTTCATCTTTTTTAACCTCTTGCTTTTTTTGATCTCTATTTATTGATGCGTGTTGCCACGTTGCCATTATGTTTTTACATTGGTAGAATATTAATAAAATACACATCCAAGTGCTCTCAACAGTAATTTGTACCTGCTGACTTGTAGGAAAGCTGGCTATATATGAGTGTGTGTGTATATATATTATATAAATATATACATGTATACATAGATACAATACTGCTTTTTTTTATTTTGTCTGTGATCTCGAAACAGTCTGACTGAAGCATGGGGTGAATGCTTGTTCTAGTCCATCTGTTCAGAGTCCGGGTTTCCTCCATGCAACAGTGCGTGGTGTGAGCATCCAAGTCTCTCTTCCTGAAGTCAAAGCAATATTCCTCGGGAAAGCGTCAGGTGAGCAGCCGGACGCAGCCGTGGTGTAGGAACGAGACTTTTGGAGACCTGATCTTGTCGTAGGCTTGTGTTTGGTGTCCACTCTGGCCTTATCCTCCTTCAGAGAAACTGTAGTCGCCTTTGGTGCTTATCGAGCTGTTATTTGACCTGCGGATCTCTAAGGCAAGCGGTTGCTTTTCGGGAACGCGGGGACCTTCGCGTGGCCCGGGGTACCCAGCAGTAGCAGCTTTGGCAAGCTCGGCCGCCACGGGAGTGGCAGGGGTTTTGGTCACGAGCTCGATGTGTTTCTTCTTTTTCTTCTTTTATGCTGTTGATGTGGGATTTTTTTGGAAACACTCTCTTAGCAGCCCTGGAACTCATGAAAGCCCTGCCCTCTCCCTCCTGCCTGACACACAGGGGGTTTCGGGGAGGCAGGAGCTGTTTCAAGAGGTGAGTGACCACCTACCATGAAACTGATAAACCCTTATGTCATACCCCTTCGTGATCTGCTGTTGGGCACACACCCAAAAAAAAAGGTGGTTTTAAAGGTTTTAGCTGTTGCTAAATTCTGTCTGGCTGCAAAGGAAAGCACACCCACATTTACAAACGGAAGGTTTTCCAAATCCTTACAGGCAACTTAATAGGAAGGGCTGAAGAACATCCTAATGTGAGAGCTCAGCCAGTCAGTGTCCCGAAAGGTAAGTGAAGGGGCTCGCTTGACCCAGTGATCCAAATAGATGCAGGAGGCTCAAAAAGTAGGACAGTGGCAGAATATGGATCTGCTGCATAGGCGAGACTGCTGAAGCATTGGCCACAGATGCTGTTATTTGGAGGGAGTAAATTACTGAGTCTTTAAAAAAAAAAAAGTAATAAAAATAATGAGGAAAAATTGCTGCTTGTGCTAGGAAATGTGGCTTTTCTTCTTTTTCGTTTTATCTTTTTGTTTAAGACTGGCGGAGGGGAGTTAAGAGCTTTTCTCTCTGTTTTTGTGACTGTACCAGTGTCTGTGTGTGTCTCGTGTGGGTGTTAGGCTGGGGGGAGGGTCAGGGGCACCCCTCTGGTTTTATTTCTTTTTTTCAAGGGTCATGGCAAGATCACACACTCTTTTATACAAGTTAGATCCAGGTCTTTGAATAACCTTTTTTTGTAAATAAGGAAAAAAAAACCACACAAAAAAAACCAACAAAAAAACAAAGCTCCTCACCAAATTCAAGCTTGTACATTATTATTTTTGGTTGTTTTTGAATTTTGAGTTTTATTGTTTTGTATGTAAATATGTGGACCCAGGAACTGTTATTAATGAGCAAAAAGTTACCGTTCAGGGCAGTGATTCTGTTTAATAATCAGACAAAATGTAGACGAGCTTTTTAAAGCCATATAGTTTTAACTCTGTACAGTAGGTACCGGCCTGTATTATTGTAACAATAACTCTAGCGATGTATAGTGTATCTATATAGTTTGGAGTGCCTTCGCTTCCATGATTTTTTGAATTTTATTTCCCTTTCCCACTTCCCCCCCCGCCCCCTTTATTAATGACATCTCCCACCCCAAACCTGCATCTTTGCTCCCCCCCTGCTTTCTAACTCTTTGAGTGCTGTAAGGTTTCGGTGATACCCTGAGCAGTAGCGGAATGAAAGGAAAGCGTCTCCACCGTCATTCATTTCATTGGAGCCGTGGCTTTGTCCTGGATGTCTCCAAGTTGCCCACCCTGCCCTCTCCTCCTCCCGCGAGCAGTGACTGCTTTCATTCGGACACTTGCCCCAGCAGCTCGTTTAGACTTTGCTCGTCTCTCCCCCAGTCCTGCGCCCAGAAGTTGTCTGGGTGGCAGCAGCTTCCAGGAGGCTCGGCCTTCCCACCCTCCCTGCGGCTGTGCCGGGGGCAGCGGCCGGGCTTGGCAAGCGGAAAGGACCCCCGGGGAGGGAAACCCCCACATCCCGCAGGGATGCTGCGCTCGGAGCCGTTCGGCCGCGGTAGGAGCGGGGACATCACTGTAAGAGACTGCAGTGGTTTTTTCCTGCCGAGGGGACTTTCTGTTCTCTTTCTTCTCCCTGTTTTTTCCCCTACACCCCTCCCCAGAGTCACTTTTGCTTTCTTGAGATAAGTTTAACATGACTCTTGATTTCTTGTGCCCAGCACGAAGGCCTTGTTTCTAAAACTAGTTTGCTTGTGTTTTACTACCTTGTTAGTATTCCACATAAGATTGTCTTGAATGGGAAAACACTTAACTCTTTACCAAACCAAAGGTTGCTGTTTTATTTCGAAGCATCTCGTGTTCATTCCAGTGAAGCAGAGGCTGCACTTTCTTTCTGGTGACACGAAGGTCAGTGATGCCAAGCTGTTGGCGACAGTCTGCTCAGAGCTGTCCCTCTCTTCTTTTACTCTTTCGGGCTTGTTTTTTAACCCGGTCTGGTCTTGATCTGTCCTTTATGTCAGCCCTGCCGTGGCGTGGGTCTCTGAGCTGGACTCGATCACAGTCTGTCTCCCCAGTGGACACCCGATCAAGATGCTGGTGGTGTTTAATATTAAACTTACCTACCTTGCTGGGGGGGGAGGG